GCTACGGGATGAGCGGTTTGCCTTGATGTGCCTAATTTCGGTAGTGAGAGCCGCGGTTTGGCCTCGCAATTCTTCCATATCGTTGTTTCCAGTGGGCATCGACGCAGCTGCGACGTGGGACAACGAAGATTCCAACATTTTGTCGGCCATTTCCGCCAATTTACCGATAGTTCCGTCACTGATGGTGAGAATGGCTTTAACGTTTGGGGGCATTCTCTGAAGAAACAACATTTTCAAGAGCTCATCGGTTACGTTTAATCCTGCTGCCAGCTCTTGCATTTTTGCGAGCATATGTGTTGGCCGCATATCACCCAAATCGCAGGAACTCAGCAAACGTTCCAACCTTCCTTCTGCAGACACTTGAAAACGCGAGATCAAACGATTCTTCACCGCACTGTACTTATTTTCCGCCGGCGGATTCGACACTAAGTCCGTTACGTGGCAAATGACCGATTGGTCGATTTTGGCCACAATGTGATAAAATTTCGTATCGTCTCTAAGAACATTCGCGAGGGCAAACTGAGCCTCTGCCTGTGCAAACCACATGACAGGATCGTTCTTCCAAAAGTCCGGAAGTTTTACGACGACGCCAGCGGCGACGGCAGCGTTTTCGTTCGGGTTTGCCATTTTCGTTGAAGAAATGTATGGAAACGTTATCCAGTCGGTTCTTCTCCGTCGGGGTCACCAATGTGGAGCGCGAACGCGGACCGCGAATAAATAAAACGAATAAAACTTGTTGTTTTTAATCGACAATCTCCAGGAGCTCTTTATTGTCTCACGTGTTTTACAACTCTGACACTTCCTATTTTTCTCTGTTCGCTCACGAGTGGTGCGCTGATTGAAAGCAATACCAAGCACCACACTACTTTTAACTATTATTTACAATTACAACTAACCTACAACTATTTACTATATACACCTAATCTACTATATACAAAGCATGTTCTGATAAAATACATTTTTGTGCAAATTTAGTGTTCATTTTGTTAATTCTGGAATCTATTTTGGCAATGCCTGCCTCTTCGTGTAAATTTGTTATTCTAGTGTCGAAAGGACGATCAAGTACCATCCTCAGCACTCTATTCTGAGCGACCTGGATTTTGTTCCTGTGAGTCTGTGCACATGATTTCCACACCGGAGCTGCGTAGAGGATCGCAGGTGCTATGATTTGTTTGTAGACAGCCAGTTTGTTCACCCATGAGAGGCGGGATCTGCGGCAGATCAGCGGATACAGACACCTAGCCAAGGCAGAACACTTGACTACAGTTTGCTCTACATGCAAACGGAAGAGGAGCTTTTCATCGAACAACATCCCGAGATAGGTTACTTCGGCAGACCACCCAATCCATGATTACAGTAGAAGATGGAGCCGGTTTCAGTTTGGGCGATTGCCGATGGACAGACAAACTGAAACAAAACCTGCTCTTTTATAACCTCTCAATCGGCTCGTCTCTCTCTGTTCTATCGATAGTCATGGCAAGCAAGCACGTAATTGGCTGAAAGCGTCCAAAGCGTTTGTTAAATATTCAATAGTTTTCTAACGATAAACAACTATTATATTTAAGGTTCAAGACACAGTCAATCAATTGGGATTCTTCTTGTTTTTGAAATATTCTTCAATCATCATCATTAGTATACACATACATTCGCACATAAGCCACCCGAAAATTGAAAGCAAGTATTTCATGGTAGTCTATGTTCTGGGTAAAACACCGTAACTCCATTTACTTACTTGTGTTCTTCGTAGCATTCCACAATTTTTCGTAATCGAATACACACAATTAATAAAAAATGGAGGCCAAATCTCTTGGTGAACAAAATAAAACACAAAGAAAATCTCTCGAGTCCACTCCTTTACTAGCGAACGTAAAAGAATCATTGAACAAGCGTTGCCAGCGATTACCTCTAGCAGTAAATATAAATTTTATAAAACATGTAAATACGAAGCTTAAACCAATTGCTGAGATGAGTGGATGTTTTTTATTGTGAATTAATATCAAAAACTGAATAAATATAACTTAAATGATCTTTTTTGGAACTTAAACGTTCCAACTGCAAAGGTAAAAAAAGATTGAATTAAACACAAACAGGGGAGATGGCAGCATTGCATGTAGCCTGTTATTGGTTTTCCCGCTCAGGGGTGTAAACAAAATGTCATACAGCGTAGTCTGGCAGTGTGAATGTTTTGTCTACGACATTCTTATACGCGTGCATGTGTGACGTCGCATTTGCTGTTGTATTGAAAAGTAAAAGAATAAAAGAGATGGTAGATGAGCAAACACCATACCAGTTGATATTTACGATGCATTGACTGTTTTGGCACGGCAACGCATGCTACCAACGAATTTTACCAATACTTTAAGAATGTGATGATTTAGGAATACAAGAAGAAGAAGCAAATGCAAATCTTACAACAAATCTGAATCAATTGGTGTAAAAATAATTGAAATCGCTCAAGAAATGTCCAAGTTATAAGCGTTTAAAACCTGACCCTGTTTTGTCACACATTTTTTTAATGTGCACTCCAGTATTGCCCACAAAGACGTAGTCCTACTTAAAACAAATTATCAAGTTGTTCGAATCTTTTGATATCTGTCCCATAATTTTTAATATATTCTATTGGGAAATACAAATTTTCAGCCTAGAGCGGAAGAGTAATGATTTTTTTTTTGAATTTCTAAGTAAAAAAATGCAAAAAATGCTAGCCAAATTACGTTCTTCGCGCTTTATATCCCTTTTATAAATTTTATTTAAATTTTTCTATTTCATTTTAGTGTACATCGTATCCAACAAATAAAATTATAAATGTTTGAAGACTTTCTCACCACTATATCCGATCGATAAATTCAAATAGAAAAGATTTATCTGATAAAATTTCCTAACCGTCAAGGTTAAATCATTTTGACTTAATCGTTCATCATTGTGCGATTTGATGTCAAATGATTGTTGGTTGGTCAACAATTATTTTTTCAATTAGTTTGTTTATTAGTTAATTCTGGTCAAAATTTTTTTCCTTAAAAATACTCGTAAGAAACACTTGCTGTGAAAACAAATCTTATTCATATATTTGTATACTAGATAGGGGAAATGGCTCTTATGTTGGCCTATGGATCTAAGATTGTGCCCATGGCTAAAAATATGATATTTATCAATTTTATCTAGATGAACGCGTCATTGGGACGGTACTAATGGATATTTTTGGTCGCTATTGAAAATGTAGTCGATTGCTGAATTTAAGTATGGGCCCAAATTAGGAGCATTTAGACCGGCATTACATCTATTTCCCCTATCATACCATTTATTAAAAAAAAGGATCAAGTCTCCCTATGATGGAAATACTTGGAACACTTTTCCAATCCAGACAAATGGTTTAAACTTCAGTAATCATAATTTCTTTAATTGCTATGTTCATTGAAGCGTAACAACTCTTTGATGTTACTGGTAAAATTCCTGAATTGACACGTTACTGGCTGAGATACTGAAGAATCAAAAGTTAGGTTCAAGTGTCCCCAGCCCCAAGTGGCTGGCGCTGTAGAAGGAAGACCAGTCGGCATGGTGCTCTCTTGCCGTGCGGATCTATTAAATGTTTACTGCTACCTTAAGCTACAATAAATTTAAACAGCACTTTTCAGTGCTCAATATTACCTGCAAATTGTCTAATTAAGTGGAATTAAATGGAAGATAACCCTTTTGTTTTGCTGTTTTATTTACATTTTGTAGTCTGTTGAATTCGTTCATAAATCTGCATGTAGGCTCGTGCTGCATGTAGTTTTTTGACCACAACAGAGGATCGAACACCTTTTGGCGACGTATTGAAGCAGAGCCGATCGTAGAGGCACGGACCCTTGTTCGTCCGCTCAATATGCTGCAGAAGAATATTATGTCGGCGATATTGTGCCTCGTACTGACTGTGTCGAGATCCACCAGACAGCAGAGGTCTTAGTATGCTGGCAATTCGACAGTGAGCATGCATAAGGGCGTGTACAATGCAAAATCAGTAATCAAATTGATTTCATTGAAAGCAGGATTAGTTTTCCGTTTGCTTCAACAGTGTAAAATTTTGCTCTCATTTTTGCTGTGTTAACCGTTAAGTCAACCAAAATGAGATCAACTGGAGTATTCAAAATAAGTTACATCATAACAGCAAATTTTGATTTCAATTTGATGTTCAGCTTTGCTCGGGGATGCACCACCTAGGGTGCGTGCGTTAAACGTCACTAATATCTATACTGAAAAATAAACTAAGTGTGACCATGACCATTATACAGCTATTGAAAAAAAGGGATGAGCACCACTGAACTAGGTAAACCTCTTAAACAAATTCTAAGGGTCAGCCTAAATCAAATGGTTGTGTTGCTTGGTCCTTCAAGGAGGATCTCAAACAGGTTTGAGGCTGCTCATAAATAAATCACGGGAATACTTGACGGGTGTCTACGGTTTATATGAACTTTAAAAAAATGTGTACGCGAATGTTTATACAGAGAGTGAGGGGGGGGGGTGGAGCCTAAAATAAGTCAACAACTGTCTATTTAGTTTATGAACAGCCCTTTAAGATTACTTCTAAGGTAGTTCTCTTAAACTTTTTCAGAATGTTTGGTGATTTAAAACATAGCACTGAATTGATGAAAAGTTTCATCCATCCATTTCGTCCAGAAATCATGACGGCAGTTTTTGATAGATTTTAGAAGTATTCTACTTGATCGTAGGAGCTGACGCTGAAGTAACGTTCCGTCCTATTATTTGTTAGAAAAGAAAATTGAGTATATTGCAGAAAATCTGCTGCACACGACATCGAAAAGCCTTTCCAACATTATGATTGATTGCTATCATCGTGGAATGATATCACCTTTTAGTTTTTTGTCAACAGACATGATATGTATTGTCAAACGACACAACTCTTATTTAAAATTGGGGGACTGAAGATACCTATAAAACATAGAACACACACGATTTAAAAAATCATACTTCATTTTCATCTAATCAGATCTGACCAAAGTTAGCTAATTCGCTTTATTTGAATGGAGATCACAGGGACGTCTGAATTCCTGATGGTACTCGTGGATCCACTTGTTGGCAACTGAAATACGAAACGAGGTCAGAGTGAATCAAATATAAAACATATTTTGTTTCAACATGCATTACCCCATTTTGATCCTGTCAACACCGGACAAGCTCCATGTAGCGTTCGTTCATCGCCTGTTCCGTCGGGGAGCAAATTGTACCAAAAAATGGCCGATCCCTTTTTCGGGAACATACCAACTCCAATGTTAGGAAATACGGTGGCTCCACCCTGTTCAACGTCACTCAACTGGAATGTTATCGATTATGTTATATTTACGCAGCTCATGACACAAATCCGTTACTTACAAAAACTTACATAAAACATCAGAGTTGCAATCCGGTTTCCAAGTCCCATATCTTTGTAAGGCTCCTCAGATCCATTGGTTTTAACCCAATCATAGTGTGGAAGATAGAATCCCCCGATTCCATAGTTGTTCACCTGAAGGCTCTCAAAGCTTTTGATATCGAGACCAGTCATGTCAACAGTTCTCACACTTATCTTCTTAACAAGTGGATTGTCCGTATCAGCAAGCCACCCATTCTGACTGGTACGTTGCTTGGACACTTCTTTAGAATTACTATCGCCAACCATTGATCTACTGAGGGTTGGTTTGGTGAGGTCGATTATTTTGTCGACTTCCTTGTCCGAAATTGCGTCGTGATAAATGACAATTAGGGGGTCTAAGCTTGCTTCTTCCATCTTGAATGGAGCAATCCGAATGAATGGAGTTTTGCTTGACTCATACCGGCATCGTAATTTTGATAGGTTTATTGGTGATGGCTGGTATTCACCACGACACAAAGGTTCATACAAGCCACGATTCGCTGGTAATGTTTTGGGTTTAGGCCCAACCGTTTCAACATGTTCCAACCAATGCTCTATTACTTTCAACTTCTTTAGAGTTCCTTCATGTTTAGAATCCAACTTCAACATTTGGTTAGTCACCTTCAATGCTTCCTCATAGTCACCTTCTTCTGCTAAACTATACGATAAGTAGTCCAAAATCTCGAACTTGCTGACTCCCTTCGTCGGTTCGATTGCCCACCGGCGCAATGCTTCCCTCAGCCAGGAGATTGCATGCCTGAACTGCTTAATCTTACTCATAACAACTCCGATAGCGTAGCATTCATCGGACGCCAATTCTCTAGTCTTGACTTGTCCCAATATCTCCCCTCGAGCTAAATCAACCGCTTCTAGCTTGTACAAATCTTGCAAATGTGCCATGGCCTCAACGATACCTGAGTAATCATTGTCACTCGGCTGTCGCGTTGAATCATCGAAAAGCTTTATATCTAATCCCATCTGCATCAAATCATCAATCTTTTTATAATCCTTGACCAACCGTTTCATCAACAGGAACGCATTTATTGGATTCGATAAGAATGCAATCGGATCTTTGGAGGCGTCCTTGATTTCATGCTGCAGTTGTTCTTTTTGTCGCTTTAGAAATTTGGACTTTTCTTCCGCCAAACTAATGTACTTATCGATTCGCTGCAGGATGCTCCGTTCGCTTTCAAGCAGATACTCCAAATTAGCCACGGAAGAATAGTATTCACCAGGATTGTGCGATTGCACTGAGAGCAGGAAGAAACTTCCCAACAATAGAAGCGTAAAACTTTTCACAGCCATCGTTGAACACCTTTTTCGGTACACTGAAAATGGTCTACTGAATCGAAAACATTCAAAACACCTCAGCACCGTTATCGGATCGATTCAGCGGCGTTGATAATGCTAGCCATACATGCAATCTCACTTTCGATAATTGATAAAATGTTACTAATTTTTTATACCTTCAACATTCGAACCATAATGGACAAGCCTTTTCTATATTCGTCAAACGGTGCTCATTTCAAAATCACAACATCTACCCACCGGACAGTTGAAACATCAATTAAATCATAATCAATAACAGCGTGAAGGGTGATAACGCCTTGACTAGGGGTGCACCTGTGAAAGAACGGCTTCGGTTCCGCAAAGCGGCAGAAGGTTCTTTTTGTTTTGGGAACTACAACGTTTGTTACTCCCAACCCGACATCAGACACTGTTATCACTTGACACGTTTTTGTGGAGGTTCTGGTCTGGGTATGGTCAACATGTTTCTGATGAAGTGAGATTCGCGAAAATTTTGCAAATAAATCCACTGTTGCACTGTGACTATTTAAGATGTTTTGATTGATTTTTGATTCAGTTTCGTGCTTGGAAGTATTCCAAAAAGTGAACAATTTAAAGTATTTGTTCAACAAGCATTTCACCATTGTGATGTAAAAATACGCAAGACATGGTTTTTCTCAAATAAATAGATAAATACATAAATAAATAAATGTATAAATTAATAAATATATAATGACCGATTTTGTCAGCCACTTTCGGTCTAGGAAGCTATGGAAACCGAAATGGCTCTTGATTTTGTTTTATGCCCTTATAGTATAAACCACCATCGCACTTTGTGAGTTGCCCCAATAGAACCCTTGCTTTTGGTTTGAATCAGTACAAATTCGTTCTATTATATAAAAAAAAACAGAAATATACATATTCATTTTCTTCCGAACTAAATAAACCACCATCACACTTTGTGAGTGGCCCCAACAGTATCCTTGCCGTTGGTCTAAATCGGGTCAAATCGGTTCTAATAATTATTTTATATTCAATCAAGTAAACCACCATCACACTTTGTGAGTGGCCCCAACAGCATCCTTGCTGTTGGTTTAAATCGGTTCAAACCGCTTATAATTAATTATTTTGGTCATTGATAAAATAAAATAAACCATCATCACACTTTGTGAGTGGCCCCAACAGTATACTTATTGTTGGTTTAAATCGGTATACACACATCTAATAATGATCTACATCTCTAGACAGCCGGCTGTTTAGAGCATAAATCGAAAACACTTATAAATAAAGGGTGTCCACGATGAAATTGCCACACTATGAAATTGCTCTAACATTTTAACCGTTGGGTAGAATTTAATGAAAATTTGGGTGGATTTAGTTCATAGTGCATTATTTACATCCTGCAAGTTTTAAAGTCCTGTGATCAAAACTCGCGGAAATGGAGTCGAAAGAACAGCTCGTGCGTGATAAAATCTTGCGCATTCATCACGAGAACAAGGATCTCTCGCATCGTTCCATCGCTAAAACGTTGGGAATCGCGAATTCCATGGTGTCACGAGTGATTAAGCGGTTCGAGGAACGGTTGACCACCGATCGGAAGCCCAGAAGTGAAGGAAAAAGTATTCCGTACAACACCAAAAATCACAACCGCGTAGTTGGGGCCTTCAACCGAAATCCGAACGCCTCCGTTAGGGATGTGGCTAAGAAGCTGCACCTAAGCCGAAGTTTTGTCCAGAAGGCCAAAACTAAGGCTGGGCTTCGAACGTTCAAGGTACAAAAGGCCCCTAATCGCGACGAGAAGCAGAACAAGTCCGCCAAAACCCGTGCCAGGAAGTTGTACCTCAACATGCTGACGAAAGTTGAATGCTGCATCATGGACGACGAAACATATGTGAAGGCCGACTTCAAACAGATCCCCGGCAACCTGTTTTTCACGGCCAAGGATAAGTTCAGCGTTCCGGAGCATGTCCGCACTCAGAAGATCTCCAAATTTGCGAAGAAATTCCTGGTTTGGCAAGCCATCTGCACGTGCGGGAAGCGGAGTGCACCTTTCGTGACCCAGGACACGATGAACGGACAGGTGTACATAAAAGAGTGCCTCCAGAAGCGGCTGCTTCCTCTCCTGAAGGCCCACAACGTCCCAACAATCTTCTGGCCGGATTTGGCCTCATGCCACTACTCCAAGGACGTGCTGAAGTGGTATGCGGACAATAAGGTCAATTTCGTGCCGAAAATGTTCAACCCTCCCAACACTCCGGAGCTCCGCCCCATCGAGAAGTACTGGGCGATTATGAAGCAGCACCTTCTTAAACGACCTAAGGTAGTGAAGACAGTCGAGGAACTGAAGAAAGTATGGGTTTACATGCAAAAAACGGTTGATTCACAGGTTGTGCAGAATCTTATGGCCGGAGTTAAGGCCAAGGTGCGGGCATTTGCGTATGGACTGTAAATAAAATACGAGTAAAATGGTAAAATGAAGTTAAATAGTTATTTCTCAATCCCTGAAAATTTGATGGCAATCGGATGAAAACTCGAATTTTGCGAATCAATTTTGTGTGTGGCAATTTCATCGTGGACACCCTTTAACTACACAAAACAAAAGATCGCATCACTTATCAAGGTGAATCCTGATCCAACGAACCTAACCCACTAACAAAACCTCCTTCCTGTGACTTTTGTGGGATGCAGAGGTAAACACGGTCCCAAAACAACAAAAGTCACACACTAACATTCCTTCCCTCTCCCACCTGATTGCAAGGACGTGGCCGGTGACGTTATTGATCTTTAAAGGTAGGAGTCACTGGAACATGTACACTGAGAATGGCAGGTTACTACCAAGCCACATTCAGTTGATTCTTTGTACAATTTCACTGGTTCAGATCAATCACGGAGTGCAACTATCGATACGTGCAGTCAGACTAAGCTAAGCTAAGCTAAGCTAATGACCGATTTTGTCAGCCACTTTCTACGGAACCCATGCAGTTAAAAACCAGTGATATTATTGCACCAAAATATATCATATATATTTATCTTGAAGATCAATGGAAATTATTTCGATGTAAAAAATAAATATATAATTTAATAAATACGTTCATTAATGAATACATTAATTTATTAATAAATAGATTAATTAATCTGTAAATAAATAAATTATTAAGTGAATAGACTATTGAATAAATCAATAAATGAATTAATTAATTACTTAAATAATTAATTACTACTTAGTACTTAAATTATTACTTATATCATTAAAAGAAAATAAACAAATATATTAATAAAACAGAGCCAGAAAAAGTGGCGGTCAATTTAACAATACTTAGTAGGATTGCTTTTCAATATAACGACCGATACTATATAATCGAACAAACATTTAACATTAATTGCGGTAAGCTCCATCGAATTATCCTCTATTTTGCTAAGCACCATGACGTGCTACAAACTGCCATCGCACAAATTATACCAAATTTGGACCCTTAAACCAAATGATCGACACATACATAAGCACTGCGATAACATTGACTTTACAATGACAAAAACCAAATTAAACTAATATTTTAATTCCTTATGTAACGTCTGCTAGAAGTTGTATTTTTATTTGTTCTCAAGCCATACTAAAATTTATATAACAAAGAAAAAAATGTAAAACATAGCATTTAATGCAACAATTATAACACGGTCTACACTGATTAACGACAAATAAAAAATAATAATTTTCAATTTCAACTTGAATATAACTTTAACACGCTGACTTCGGCGTATAAGGAAAATCTCAGATTTTCAAAAATAACGCAGCCATAACAAAATCAGCTCTCACCGCTCTCACACACACACACAGTTTCCGCTGTTCAGCTGTTCCGACCGCAGCTACCAGAAAGTTTATTACGGCTTGGTCCCAATCGGAACGTCCTTCCACGGGTGCTTTAGTTTTCATCATCTTCAACATTTACCTGGACAGCAAATAAATTAGCATACATTATAGAGTTATGGATTTTGGTGGACCTATTGATGTAATTTTTTCACTCCGTCTAAATGTATGCCGTGTTTTTTTTAATTAATATAACATCCCAACAAACATTTCAGAGCTACAAATAGGAATATATATTGAAAAAAATACTGTATAACTGTGTAAAATGTTTAATAAAACGAGTTGTCGAACTATGTGCTGAAAAGGCTCATTGAGATCGATAGATGCACATTAGAGTGATGCAAAATTTGAAATTTTCGCTCCACAATACTTAAACGATTCCAAATCGGATCCTGACTAACCTCTCAAAATTTGAACCCATTTGGTGAGAAACTGAGATGGCACAAACCATTTGAAGTTTGTATGGGAATTACTATGGTAAAACCAAGATTTTTGTTCATGTCTATCTAATAATTCACCATATCGGTCTGCTTCAAAAACTTTCAACTTTACTTGTAGGAAATTTTCCTAACTACAACTTTGCTGAAAACCACTTTTTGATTAAATGCAAGGATCGAAAGTTATTAATGGTTCAATGCACTGATGTCTTATGATCATGCTCAATCAACTGCTAAGCAGGCAACATTGGTGTTTCTGGGGCGTTGAATAGGACACAAAAATTATGGCTACTATGTCACACTGGAAAATACAGTGTTGCCTACAGAGCAGCTGCTTGATCATGTCATAAGTTTACCAATCTCTTAAATAATTAATAACTATTTCTTGTCTCGTTTTACATAGAAACGATCTTCAGCAAAACTGTAGCTGAGAAAATTTTCTTTATGAATAGCTATCGAGCTGTTTTGCAGCTCAATATGGAAACAGACTAGAAGGCAATGAACAAAAAGTTGAGATTTCCCATAGTAATTTACATGTAAACTTCAAATAGTTTGTGCGAAGTCTGTTTCTAACCAAATGAGTTGTAACTTTTGGAGGCTAATCACGACCCGATTTGAAACCATTTAAGCACTCTGGAGCGAAAAAGTCAAAATTGGCATCAGTCTAATGCACATTTATTCCACTGTTTGTTGTAATCTGATTAATTTACTCATTAAAAGCTATAAAAGCGTTAAATGTCTTCCCAATTCAACGCCTGAAGTTTGATCTA